GAAAGGGACGAAACGGAGTAACAAATCAAAAAACTATCTTTCTTATTATTATAAGTTTTTTCTGCATTTTTTCGTGAATATGCTTTATTCTACCATATTTTTTTTTACCTTCCACGCATCAGCCTGTCTGTCATTATATTTCGCAACAAAATCTTCTTAATCTTGCTACCGATTTAGGGTGAACTTTGCCTCCTCATATGACTTTGCTCAATCCGAGTCATTTCTACACTCTTTATCGTTTTCATCCGCTCATACGTATAACAGTCTGAGAATAATAATGAATAGAAGTGTTCAGGATTTTGACTGCACGTCGGGAGAATCAAGAAGAAGCAATGAGAGCAGTAGGCGGATGTGTCGGAGGCTACAGGTCAGGAGTCACACCGCGCACGGCGGACGCTCGCTGCGCTCAAATTTTGTGCCTCACAAGAGCTCTCCGGTGTTAAAGTGGCACAGTAGGAAGGGAGGAGGCAGATATATGACTCGATGCCATGGATAACATTCGGATAGGAGTACTGACGGGAGCCGAGCCTTGTACTGCTAGTCGCGTTGCGATGTCGCTTCGCGATAGATCTCCTGACCCGCATCCTTAATAGAAGAGTAGTGAAAATCTGATGATTTCGCGCTCTCATGGTAATAAAAACGGCTATGGGCGGTAACCGCGGCTTACAGCTACCCCTCACGGCTACTGGTGGCGGTCAAAGTAGGGCAAACGGCGGCTGCCGGCGCGCTATAAAGGTACCCTCACGGGCTATACCCTAAGCTCTCTCTTACTGTCACCACAACATTAGTCGCTGCTCCTCCTTGACAACACGATTGGTGATCTTGATTGGATGTTTTCTACGATACTGGGAAAGGTCCACATCAGAAGCCCTTTTGCGAGATTATTGTGGCGGCGCCCAGCGGCTATGACTGTGAACAAAGTAAAAACCTAGTCAAAAACATTAAATTCTTACACCTCACCTGAATCTGTGGGAATAAACACATCATGGACGAAGTACAAGCTCAGAGCACTTCCCTCCGATTCACACCATTTTTTTCCTTTATCGAAACAGATCTTCATCCTAAACTATGCAAAACGAGATACATGGCAGTCTTCACCTTTACTAAACCACAGGAAAGATGAAGATGGAGACCATTCAGTATGAGAGTTAATTACGAGATTTTGAAGAGTACATTCTGTCCCAAAAGTAAAAGCGCACCATTCACACTCTTCATGAACCTCAATGAAGATTGCTTGCAGAGGAGAAAAATCATCAAACTTTGTTCTGGAGCAGGACTTGTGGGGTACCTAAAGGACTAGATGTCGATGTTGAGCCTATTATCTTGTTCTGTATGATGTACGTGGTCTGTGGCAGCAAGGCTCGGCACAAGCTGGCATTAGAAAATTTTCAAAACGAAGTTCCCCTTGACTTTTGCTAAGTTTTAAAAAGTCCCCTTCGACGCAAACGCTAGAAGTAAAAAACCCTTGAAAGCGAAACGTCGACTTGAAAAAAGTCGCAATTTTTTGCCACAAAAACTATATCCACTTTGCTTTTTGCCTCAAGAACGATATCCAGCTTGTCCCGTGCCAGCTAGTGCCAGGCCCTGGTGGTCAGTTTCATCTCAGCGACAGGGAATTCGATGTCAAGGTTCGTTCTAAGGGATCGTTCAGACCGCGCCTGTACCCGCCCAAATACGCCCAAATACGCCCGAATACGTCCAAATACGCCCAAATACGTCCGAATACGCCCAAACCCGCCCGAACGCCGAAACTGCCAATGCGCAGCAAATTGCATGCAAATTGGCATATTGGAGCACGCGTGGAATACTGCGTGCGTGGTGCATATATGGTAGCCACACGTAGCTCGACGTTACATACCGATTTTCATATGCGACTAGCGTTACAAAGATCAATCGACTTTGCGTCTGTTTTTATTTCTTCTCATGTTTGCTGACTCTAGGTGAGTTCTAACTTCCGTGCTGTGCGTTTTCTTTTCTTTTGAGCATGACGATCTTGTTGAGGTAATGCTTTGTTCTGTCTATGAGTCATTTCTTTCCATATTGATCTGGTGCAATAAAAAGGCCCGGTCTTTGCTCAAAAGCGCCCAAATTTTTCTGTCTTTCTCTGGAGGAGAGATAGGAGTGAAGAGAGATTCAAAAAACTTGAGCGCTTTCGGGCGCTTTTGAGCGAAGTCTGGCCGGGCCGAAGAGGTATTCTAGTCATCTTTACGCGTTAGGCATACTGTCCCTGTAAAGTATAAACAAAAAGTTGACAACGCACGTACTTAGAAAATAGACAAAGAAAATGTGCATATTCTACTCATTCCAGATCAATATGGAAAGAAATGACTCATAGACAGAACAAAGCATTACCTCAACAAGATCGTCATGCTCAAAAGAAAAGAAAACGCACAGCACGAAATTTAGAACTCACCTAGAGTCAGCAAACATGAGAAGAAATAAAAACAGACGCAAAGTCGATTGATCTTTGTAACGCTAGTCGCATATGAAAATCGGTATGTAACGTCGAGCTACGTGTGGCTACCATATATGCACCACGCACGCAGTATTCCACGCGTCCTCCAATATGCCAATTTGCATGCAATTTGCTGCGCATTCGCAGTTTCGGCGTTCGGGCGGGTTTGGGCGTATTCGGACGTATTTGGACGTATTCGGACGTATTTGGGCGTATTTGGACGTATTCGGGCGTATTTGGGCGTATTTGGGCGGGTACAGGCGCGGTCTGAACGATCCCTAACTAGAAGGGTCTCAAATCTCATTCGGCAACCGACTTAATCATTACTATTTGAATGATTACATTTCATACCTATTACATGATGGCGGCTTTATTTATGTGCTCGTGTATCAGGAAAATTATTAAGTAATTATTATGACTTCTAACTTTTAACAGAGAGTTGAATGTTGTCTCTTTTTTACCGAGTGTGTTACATAGAATCAAATGCCGCACCGAATGCTGTGTCTCTTTGGCTAAATTTTCCAAGCCACGGTGTCTTTCTGCAAGAAGTACAGGGACTCTCGCCGTGCGGGCGGCCAGCGACGACCTTACAAGCGCTCGTCGGTGTGTGCGATTGTGCGGTCGTCAAAGGCCGATCATGCGGGTAAGATGTGGCGCACGTACGGTACTGTCGCTTTCCGCTTGCGCGGGGAAGGTGGGCCGCTCGCTCCCTGTTGAGGTAACGAGATACCTTAGTCCTTCTCTTCGGGTATGTTAGGACCGCATGCACTAACATTTCCGCTGAGGAGGGGATCGCAGCTTCAGAAGAAAGTTTCATGTTCTGAAGCTCCGGATATCTGGATTTCAAGCTGTCTACCTATCCGTAAGTACTCCCACCATCCTCCACTATGAACATATTGAGCAGAAGCGAGAAGCTGTACAAGCCGCGTTTCTCAGCTTCTTGTAGGATCCCTGATGATCCCTGGGGGACGAACATCTATTCTTCAAAGTCATTTTTCTTTCTCCGAAGTTAACGAAAACCTTCCAAAGTTGTACTAAACATCTAACACAACAGTGCTAAGCATGTTGCTGATGAGAACAAATGAGTTTTTGAACTCGAATTTTTCGGTAAACCCCAGACTTCGACTTGTGGATCATCGAAAATCTCATGAATTTAAAACATCATTTGTTCTTATCAGCAACATGCTTAGCACTGTTATGTTAGATAATCTGCACAACTTTTGAATTTTTCGTTAACTTCGGAGAAAGAAAAATGACTTCAAAGAAAAGCGCCGGGGATCATCAGGGATCATACAAAAGCTGGAAAATGCGGCTTGTACAGCTTCTCGCTCCTGTTACATGTTCATAGTAAAGGATAGTAGGAATACTTACGGATAGGTACATAACGTAAAATCCAGGTATCTGGAGTTTCGAAATGTGAAGCTTTCTTTTAAGCTGCGATCCCCTCCCCGCGGCCATATTAGTGCATGCGGCCCTTAGTCTTTGCATCTGGGAACGTTGCAGCATTGGCCCTACAATTTATGTTGGGAGTCTGCACTTACAATTCTGGTCATGCATAAACTCATAAACCTTTCCCAAGCTCCTGGTTAGTGAAGATCGCGCTGTTGATACAGACATATTATGACCAATGGCAGCCTGAACGCTGCGTCTTATCTCACGGGTACCATTTGGGCTCATAGCGTGTGACAACTACGAAAGGAAATTAAAGGTCACTGTCGGCCGCTTGCACGAACACGGGTTTTGTCGTCCGATCAGACGGGCACATTGCTGGCCGCTCGCTTGGGCAAATGTATTGCCGCCCAACCGCACGGTAACATTGCTTGCCGCTTAGGCGGAATTTTCGTTGTTCGCCGAACGCACGGAAGCTTTAGGGTTCATGTCGGCCGCTTGTGCGCTGGTACCTGTAGGAGGACCGCTCGCATGGCGCGAATCCCTTAGTAACCAGGACTCCTAGTTCCCGTCAAGACTGAAACGCGTGTAGTTTTGGGCCCCTATGGTCATGACTCATGACTGTGCCCAGCGTGTGTACTCTAGCGTGCGGTCTGAAAATGCAAGGCGGCTGGGCATGTTCGCCCCTCTCACGACCGCTCAAAGCGTCTTTCTCGTACAGGAGCAAACATATGCGACGAAGTTTCGTTGAGTTAAACGCTAATCTCTGCCGATTTCTTTTCTCCCACGTCTGTTTCATTCTTTCGTTCCTGCCTTCAAAACAATGGACCCATGTTGTTGTCTTATAATCGAAGCAGGGCGTATGTCAAGGGCTACCGCTACAATTTGATTACCCTTTTCAATGTTGCTGATTTTGGCGCTAGTGGTGTTGCTAGGAAATGAATGAAATAAATTGGTCTTAAGTGAGCAAAAAACAGCAGGGCTAATTTTGAATTGCGTTTGGGAAAATTCGACGAAAAGCTGTAGGTTTTCTGACTGGGCTTAGCATTATTAAGGGTGAGTAGCAGCGGAGTATGGCGCTTGAAAAAGAAAGGTTATGCGGAGAACAGTGAGCAAGGGGCCTGTTGGTCAATCCAGATGCTTGTCCTTGTCGAACTCAAGCGTCAGCTACTTTTTTACGACTCTTGATATTCTGGATCTGCTCTAAATAAGAATGATCCAATCGTTTCACAATATTTCGAAATGAGATGATTATGGAGAAGTTTATTCGGAATGTAAGTGAGCCTACCTTTGCCAGTGTGTATTCATTTGCTATAGGTCTAACGGAGATTTCTTGCCTAAAATTCGAGAATGATTGAGTTTCAATATACCTCTCTGTTTTTTCTCTAAACTACCAAAAAAGCAGCAAGCAACTTTTTACACCTTCAAAGACTAAGAGGTTCAGCTACAGCTTTGAGCGCAACGTATCCATGAGATCCACGGTAGAAAACTATCGAAATCTGCTAACAAGAGAAGGACTTGGTGATCGCGGCCTTCTGCAGTAAAATGGCAGTATATGCGCCTTGAAAAGCTGATTCCAAATCTATGATTACTATCTGCTGTGCGATTCTGTCGATGTTATGGACTTTTTCCGTATCAATTTCACGAGATCTAAGCAGTCAGAATCGTCAGTATCCTGGCTTTCAATACTCGGATATATTTGAGACAGTTTTCTTGGGCTTAGTATAAATTATTCTTCTACTGCATGGCGAAGGCGCACTAGCAGTATTAGTTGTGCGGGCGCGAACTCGGCGAGCGCGTATCTTCACCATTGTAAATCCTGTGCCTTATGCGCTCCTCGGCTAATAAAGCCGCGTTCGCGCCCAAAGGTATTGCACTTTTGTCATGCAGCAGATTTACTTTATCTGGACTTTATTTTGTAGTGCGTAAGTGACCATTCTAACGATTTTGTTAAATCCTGTCATCAAAACACTGCAAGTTTTGGATGGCCAGAAATGTTCATAACTTCTTTCGGAAGAGCGCGAATGAGCGCTCTAAGATGCACTCAAAGGTTTCATATCACAAGGTCACGGTCAACAAGTATACTTCCCACGTAAGATTGACCTTGACAAACCGAATCTACTTCGCTACCATTACACTAATGCAAAAGAAAATGCAAAATTTGCAAACCATTCGTCATCATTCAAGTATCCTGTGAATTCGTTTAGCTTCGGGCAACATTCCGCTTGCGATGTAGCGGCTTTGTTGATGTTAATAACAATCTCGGATTTTAACGTTTTAGATCGAGAATTTTCAGCCGTTCGGGAAAGAATGTGCGGAAAATACTGAGCTCTTCCCATTATTCTGTAGAATTGGCTTGCATCCGTGTTTGACCTAAATTGATCGCCTCTAATTTATGTCAAGATGTTTTCTCAAATATTTGTTGTTGCAACTTATGTTCGAGACGAGTATTATAAGGCGAAGAAGCTTACTCGATTTGGATGATGGAGCCTGGCACTGCGCCATCGTCATTGAAAAGAACGGCATGACAGTATGGGCTGAAACATTAACAGAAATTATCTGGCTTTGGTATACTGCGGTTGGACGATGACGCGGTATTGTTTGACCTAGCCCATGGTACGTACTGGTTAGTATCACCTCCTAGAAACATCAACCTTTTACAAACCTGGATGTAAGCAGAAGAATGTCCCTCTTTTTTCCTGGGACTTCTATCGTAACTTGTTTAGCATCACTGACATCTTCATGGTCAAAATCGGTCCATACCTCAAGATAGACGTCTTGACGGCAGTGTTAAGTAGAATAACAATACTTTTTTATTAGAGTTGGTAAGAAAAGTTTGGGACATATGTGAGCTAAAATTATCATCTCTCAGGATTAGCACATGTAAACGAGTGTAAATTTGCAGATATATGTACTAGTGCGCCTATGCAGTCCGAAGTCGAAGTGGTTAACCCGAGTTGCATAATACTGAAAGTAACACAAAACGCCGACTCTAAACTGTCTTTAATATCTGCTGAGCGTCCTTGTGGACGAAGCTATAAGTCATCATAAGTCATTTTGTTGCTAAGAATTGAATATGCAAAGTGCAAACTTGGCCGCACAGAGTCATGCTTGGACCAATGCTGGGCCAATGCACGCAGTATGGTCATTTGTATAGCTCATTTAGTGATGAGCTAGAATGACAAAAATTTTCGTACTCACGCAATTTCCATATACGATTTTTTGCATTAAAACTGCCGATGACTTCGTCTACAAAGACGTTCAAAAGATAAAGAAGGCAGATTTGCAGCCAGCGTTTTATACTACGTTCAGTGGTCCTGCTTGGACTGGCCATCTTCCACTTCTGACTTTCCTTATACATGTGGGAGAGTTTAGGTCGACAAAACGCAATTTGTTACTTTTCAACTAATCCGTTTTCAATGCTTTCCAAGCTCGATCTTATAAAGTGCATTCATGTATGAATGTGCATATCTATTTTGAACTGGTGCATGGTCATTTACGGAAGTTTAAGATCCGAGTTGCCCGTCTAGGGCTTGCTTTTCTCTATCGCAAAATATGGGTGATATTAGGTACTTAACCGAAAAGATCCGAAATCAATGAGGGAACTTTCTTACCAGCCTAGAACTTTATGCCTAACAGAAAAATTAATTTTTTGTGGACGAAGAAATGGATTAGGTTCTTGCAACGATTCTAACGAAAATGTCGAAGAAACCGCTGCCTTTGGAATTTCCTGGAAGCTACATCTGAATAGGTACACACCTGCAACTCATAGACATCAGGATTGCCTTTCTTCTGTCTGAAGTCGAGCTCAGCCTTTAGAAGTACGTATGGTTCTGGAACTTATCTCTCATTCACCATTGTTGGTTATATAAAATTGTAATCGTATGGCTATGGCTTGAACCAACTTGCTTTTCCTTCTTTTACGTGGTATAAAATTTGTTCCATCGTTGATATACGAATTGAATCTTTACAAGCACTTTCAATATCTATCCGCGAAAGGCCGGATTTTGTGGCGTTTGTTTGGCGCATAAAGCATATATATACTCTAAAGTTTGAAGAAAGACTGTTGTTGGCTGCAGGAGGCCACTCACGCTAAGCAATCCATTGGTGGATGGACAAGAATGGCAAAATCTGCGTAGAATTTTCTATAGAAGGTTGCGTAACCGGGTTTGTAGTACATTGTAGCCCTGAATACTCTTCGTTTCCTTGTAATTAGAAATCACAGGTTATGCTGACAAGGGAATGGTCAGAACTCGAAGTGGACGATCCAGAAAAGCTGCATACCATTTGATGCAGCAAACGCTAACTTGAGATAAATTTTTCTAAATTTTTCGTATCTGCTAAACGCTCTTGTACGCGAAGTATGAGCTGTTTTATTGGCCATTACGACCTTCGACCATTCCCTTGTAAGATGAATCGCCAAGCTTTCTTCGAATTTCAAAAGAGCTGTACAAAGCCAAGCTTGGAGCTTTACAAGCAGATTTCTTGCTTCTAAACACTCTCAACGCGTTTTGTGGCGGCATTTTGACAGATCACTGCCTTTCATTCATTCTT